CTCTGGGAGGTCATATAATGGAAGTTTGCATATGAGGGCGGCATGTCATAGCTGATCAAACGCTTTCGACATATCAAGACTAACGACATGAGCGACTTCATATCACTGCATGGGTTTACTTCACAGTTGCGTGACATAAGATAGGAGGCCGTCTGTGGATCGCTGATGCCTGAAACCATACTGTTAAAAAAGTCGTTACTTTTAATGTACTCCAGAAACTCCGGACTTATGCATCTCTCTATCACATTACTTATCACATGAAACAAATCTATATAGTTGTAAGGGTCGTGCTTAGATCCTTTATTTGGAATGGGCTGGACATGAGCAAATTATCCAGTTTTCTGGGAATGCACCGGATATCTGGAAGAGGCGATAAAGAACTGGAGCAAACTCCGCTGCACATCTTTTCAATACAACGGCAAGAATCCGGACCAGAAGGTTTTTGTTAATGTCGAGCGACAAGAGCACCCATCTTACGGCTTTACACCTGAAACTAACTTCCCACAAAGCACAGAGAACCCTTTGGATCGACGGCACTTGGGCGATCTAGAGACGTCCATGGTGGCAGCAAAGATCCTGGCAAGTACATTTGGCTTAGTCTCTGAGTTGGTTACAATCATTTCATCCTAGCACGTAAGCGGTGATTCCCTTCAAACTGCTTGTCTATCATCCAGACTCGATATCGACTTGTCTGTTCTCTACAGTGCAGTGGAGTTTTGTTTTGTAAAAATCTTCTGTGTGCCTTGGCCTTCTGCCGTCGAGCAGTGAAACACCCATACAGGAGAATATATATATATATATATATATATATATACAGGGTTATCCAAATTAAGTGTCCACCATTGGTAACTTTGTTATTAGTAAAAATACAAAGTTGTTTAAATTAGCAAACTAGTAGCATTTTTAACGCTGGTAAAAATGAGAAATAAAAAAAAACAATTGAGAGTCGTTATTTTGATTTTTTTCAGTAAAATAACATTTTTTTAAATGGAAACCCCTGTATATTATATTTTTTTCTGTTAAAGCATCAAATTTTAAACAAAAAAGTTCATAATGACTTTTCCGCTAAAGTCAAAAATAAAGTCAAAATAACGATAAATATTTTTAATTATTTGCAGTATTATAATATTAAGACGGCTATGAAAACAACATGGCGTTCGCGATTTGACAGCATTAAGATAAGCGACAAATTGTTAAACTGGACATACTCGCAACTAGAAGGCTTTGGAAAACAATGATAAAATCAAATAATGTCAAACATTAGTGTAAATACTTGTTTATAAGCTTTATTGTGTCATTAATTTAAAGAAAAATGTTCTCCCATGAAGAAAAGTGTGATATGTTAGAATGCTATTTAGTGTGCAGAAAATCCTCCTTGAGAGCAAGAGAATACTACAGTGAATTATATCCCGCTCGCATTCAACCGTATGAACGATATTTTCTCAGACTTTATCGAAAATTTAGGGGCAACGAAAATGTTTTTGCTAAAACAAGGGCAAAAAAAGAATTCATAATAAGCGAGGCCACGGAAATTGCAGTTATTGGATATTTTGAAGCTTATCGTGAGAATTCAATAGCAGATATTCTCAAGGACTCTAATTTCAGTTATGGTACTGTTCAAAGGATTTTAAAAAAATACAAATTTATTCCGTATAAGTACCGACCAGTTCAAACGCTTTTGGCAGGGGATCCAGAGAGAAGACTTGTTTTTTGCCATTGGTATCTTAGCTTCTGTCGCCAAAATGTAAATAACTTTCGTTACCTTTTATGGACAGATGAATCAAATTTTTCAAATTCTGGAATGTTTAATAGAAAAAACCACCATTATTGGTCAAGAGAAAATCTTTTGTTAGTACATCCAAGAGGCCCACAAGTCCGTTTCAGTTTCAACGTTTGGTGCGGTATAATTGGTTCAAAAATTGTTGGCCCGTTCTTTTATGAGGGAACCCTAACTGGTGAAAGATATGTGGAATTTATGTCAGAAATTCTGACTAATTTCTTAGACGAATTGGATCTTATAAGTAGACATCATCTGCATTTTCAGCAAGATGGCGCACCTGCCCACAACTCCAGAGGTACTTATCATTTTCTAAGTACTACTTTTAATGATCAGTGGATAGGAACAAATGGCCCAATACAGTGGCCTCCCAGATCACCAGATCTAAACCCACTTGATTACTTCTTGTGGGGTTACTTAAAGAACCAAATTTACAAGCGAAGGTACGATAACCTTGACGCGTTAAAGACTGCAGTTAGGGAAAAGATAACCCAGATAGATGGTAGGACCATACTTAAGACAGTTCGAGCAGTTGAAAAACGTGCCCAAAAATGTATTGAAGAACAAGGTGGTGTTTTCGAGCATCTTCTTTAAAAAAAATTGTTATTGTATTTTGTAAGATTATAATTTGATGTTGAAAATAAAGTTTGTCGATACAATTTAATTGTTTCAGATTGGAGGCCATAACTTCAACAATTTGTAACCTAAGAGAAAAGTTATTGTAAGCTTTTTTGTTTAAAATTTGATGCTTTAACAGAAAAAAATATAATATACAGGGGTTTCCATTTAAAAAAATGTTATTTTACTGAAAAAAATCAAAATAACGACTCTCAATTGTTTTTTTTTATTTCTCATTTTTACCAGCGTTAAAAATGCTACTAGTTTGCTAATTCAAACAACTTTGTATTTTCACTAATAACAAAGTTACTAATGGTGGACACTTAATTTGGATAACCCTGTATACAGGGTACTTAATTTGGATAACCCTGTATATGTATATATATATATATATATATATATATAACTGCTGATCTTAGTGATACTATGCACTTGTTAGCCGTAATAAGTCACACATATTTTCCCTACATCTGCCATGGGAACAGAAATATGATAGGTTTGCCTTATATAGTTTGTTATGCAGTGGTCGAAGATTTATCGCACCCAAGTGAACCGATCTAATCATGATTAGATGTCGCCTTTTGAAACGTCTTGACTCATCCCTTCCTTTGAAACCTCCAACGAAGGCGTAAGAGTTATAGAGTTAATCTACCTGGGGCCAATTTTTTATTCAAAAAAATGCATGCAATTGAAAGTAAGAGCGCTAAATTCGGTTTTGCTAGCGTAGGTTGGATTGTGGGCTTCTGGTTCGGGTAAGTTTCAGGTATTTTATCGATTCAGTACTGAAAGTTTATCAGTTTTTTAGTTGGCAGGTCTTATTTCATAAAAATACGTTAACTTGTTATTGCATTTGTTGTGTATTATAATCCGGACTAGAACTTCGATGCATACGTAATCATTACGTGAAGAGTATCAAATATAGTGACAATCGCAAAATGAAAACTTCAAAGTGGAAAAAAGTTTTTGTAGTAAACCCATCGGCATTTGAAAGCGCGAGGCTGATACCTCAAATATAGGCAAAAATCGCTATTTACACATTTAGGTTTTCTAATCTAATTGATGACAGAATTACAGAGTCAATCTACTTGACGCCACCTTCTAGACTATCAAGATTTAATGTACGAGTCGACCCTAAAATGCGGACTAATTCAGTACTTAGCTCCATCCTCGGAGATAAGACAATGGAAATGAGATCGTGCTCCTTAAGGTCGTTCCAGAGGAAAAGACATCCGACAACTGGCAGCTGCCGCAACGGATGGAGGCCCTTCATTTATTATATTCCCAGCAGCCAGAGTGATATTAAAGATGCTCTTTTTCAAAATTATCTGTTCACTCTTACTCCCGAATCTTGGCACTTTAATGTCCTGACAGATACGGTGGAGGACTTTCCGGAATTAGAACGATTTTAATTGCTGACCTAACGTTAATTGATTGAGAACTCAGAAAAAACGGTACAATCCTTTTATACCCATTAAGACGTTTTATGTTGATTCGACGGTGTTTCTTCGGATGTTTTTCGGGCCAAGAATTAACAAACATTTTGATTGTCTGAAACGCTTTACTGTAGGGATAATGAAAAATAAAGTGATTCAATTTCGGTATGCACTTAGAAAAAGGACAGTAGGATAATGTCCGCGCATTTCAACATATACAACATATATACGTATATATATATATATATATATATATATATATATATATATATATATATATATATATATATAACAAAACATAGGAAAATAATCAGAAAAATCCGCATAAAAAAGGAAAGTGGATTCGAGCAGAAAATAGGATGGATAACCCGAGCGATACGTATTTCTGCTGGTTGGCTTCATCAGGCCCGAAATGAATGCACATATGGAACTACAAAAGTAGATACACATGCCCATACATCCGGATACGGGTGTAGCCTGAGGAAACGAAGACCTAGAGGGAAAGAAATCATACGCGAAGTCCACAACAAGAGCTAACCTATACATTGTAGTATGTGAACTTCGCGTGTGATTTCTTTCCCTCTACGTCTTCGTTTCCTCAGGTTACACCCGTATCCGGATTTATGGGCATGTGTATCTACTTTTAGTTGCATAATATGTGCATTCATTTCGGGCCTGATGAAGCCAACCAGCAGACATACGTATCGCTCGGGTTACCTATCCTATTTTCTACTCGAATCCACTTTCCTTCTTTTTGCGGATTTTTCCCATTATTTTCCTATTTTTTGTTATATACCTTTCTCCGCATGATCATTTTCTCTTTATATATATGTACATATATCACAGTTTTTTTTCAATACGTTGTATACAGCGATAAAAAGAAAACGAGTCATTTTGCTCTATTCATTTATTTATTCATAATTGCCGGCAATACGCGTTTAGTTAGGGCAATTTTTTGTTGTACCCTTATGTATCAGAATATATAAACAAAGTCGAGTTGGCTGGAGTACCAACACCCCAAAGGTCATGTTCTTTCTTAGCTCCTAGATCGTTCAGCACAATTTGAATGTATTTAAAAAAAAAGTGGCTCCTGTTTATACCTCGAACAGAGATACGCCAGGGAATTGATTTAAAAAATACTCTGTCATCTTATGCATGGTTTGATTTTTCAGATGTGATTATATACTTAAATTGTGATTGCGTTACCCGGTTGTGACTCTTTCAACGAACTGTGATTGCTATTCACCATATATGGATTGTTTATATTATGGACGTGATATGTTACATTACTAAGTCTTATTCTTATATTTAATTCTAGTCACCCACGTACAAGGAGTATTCCTTCCTGAGGGACTCTCATTTATTCGCTTATTTCTTGCCTTCTTAAATATTTTATCCTGTAATTAAATGTGCGAATAAATTATTATTATTATTATATAATGTAATAGTAAATAAGTTATTAACATTGTGCATACTAGTAGTGGTCCTTGATTGAAAAAATCTTACTAATACAGTCGAGGTTCTGGTCAGAACTTTCTGCTACAGAATTATAATTATTATACAGGATATTTTCAAAGTCGAGTCATTTATTTTAACAGCTTGTAGAACTCCAAAGAAGCTGATATACTAAAAATTACCTATGTAAAAGTTGCATAATAAGAGAGATAGCTTATATTATTAAAAATTATTAAAAAAATCATTATCAAGCTAAATGGATACCGTTTTTACAAAGACCATTTGAATTAAATCACAAGCATTTTCAGTTGTTGTTCTTCCAGAGTATTTACTGCTCCATCATGATACACCAACTCTTTTAAATAGCCTCAAAGAAAAAAATAGCACGGCGTTAAATCCGGGGAGTGAGCACGCCAAGAAATGGATCCATGGCGCCTTATCCATCTATTCGGAAACTCATTATTTAGATGTTCATGAACTTCTCGTCTAAAATGTGGTGGAACCCCATCATGTAGGAACCACATAATCTTTCTCACATTTAGAGGAACATCTACTAATAATTGTGGCAGATTATGTCGAAGAAAATCTAAATAAATTTCACCGGTCAGTCGAGGTGGAAAAGGGTACTGTCCAATAAGGATGCCATTTACCACGCCAACCCATACATTTAATGAAAATCTATGTTGAAAATGAGTTCTTTTTACAGCATGTGGATTTTTTACTGCCCAAATATGATTGTTGTGGAAATTGTGCATTTCATTTCATGTAAATGTGGTCTCGTCTGTACACAAAATTAGTTTCGTAAAATCATTTCTGCCGAACTGTGCTAAAAGCCAGTGGCAAAATGCAACTCTTCTAGGATGCTCTTCAGGTTGTAGCGCTTGTACCCGTTGATAATGATAACGATAATACTGTTCTTGTCGTATTGTCTTCTACACTTTATTATGAGAAAGTTCAACTTGGGCTGTTAAGGCTCTAGTATAGTCACCGTTCTTGGCGGTTACGCCATCAACGCCACATCAAATAAGTAAACAGATGGAGTCTCCGTACCATGCGCGGATCCACTACTGCCACTCTCTCCAGTACGCATGAAGTGGGTAACAGGGTACCGCTGTTTCTGTTTTCATTCTCTTCCTGGAAATACTCTAATAAATTTAGCACGAGCTACCAGCCTTCTCCATTGTTCGTATTTCCGGACACTGTACAATTTTATATTGAAGTTTGATAACAAGACAACTCAAATTGCACGCCGATGTCAAGTAAGTTGTCACTCTGACAAATATGATTGAAGGGCACTCATACGTAACGACAAAGTTTTCGAGACGGAGACACACAACTAAAAAACGTATGTCTTTGAGCTTACCGAACAAACGTTCACAGACAGGGGTAGGTGGCAAGTGTATGTATGAGGGAGATGGAGATATATAAATGGATACTTTGACCCACCAAGAACAGTGACTACAACTATACTTACTGTTGGGTCGTCTACGACCATTTCTAAAATGTCTTCCTCAATTTGTAACATTTCAGGTTGAGCAGGTCTTCCAGCGTGACCTCCTCGTTATTATTTTAAATATCCTGTGACAAGAAGTCTAATAATTAAATTAACAAACATCCGTGGGGCCGGAAACCTTTCCATATATTACAAGAGTACATACTACAAAATAATCAGACAAATGAAAGTATTCGAAGTATTAAAAGACTGATACAACAGCTTGAACCAAAGACTCGTACTGAAAACCGTACAATAACACAAAAAGTTTGCCAAATTTAGATGAACGATAAGAGTAGTAAACAAAAAAGGCTCAGATCTTACATGGCAGTGGGGTATCAAAAAATCTGTGTAATAACATTCTTATTTTTAAAAATATTTAATCTTTAACTATTTCTTTTATTATGCAACTTTTATATAGGTGATTTTTGGTATATCAGCTCCTTTTGACGAGTCCTACAAGCAATTAAAATAAATGACTCAACAATACAACATTTAACGGTGGATTCAATAATGTTGGTACGGGAATGTTGCAGCAAAAGGTAAGGGTCATTCTCAAGTTTAACCGTATATACGAAAATTTAATATATGATGAAGTTCTGGTCCATCCACTTTTTTAAAGCTTATGAATGAATGTCAGGCCGACATTGGAACGTTTTAAATGTAATGACTTCAACGGCGTAGTAGAATACGCTGACTGTATATACGAACGATATTTAAGGAATTTTCATTGGACATCTAAAATATTTGTGACATGCATAGCGTGGTATCCATATTAAGGAAGCTCTTTCGAGTTTTGATCGCATCAGCGTAATACAAGCGGTGCTTGCGCATTACCATATAAGCTAGAATCATTGCCGTTGCAGAGCTGATGCGTATTACCTGAGCAGAAAAACATAAACTGCAGGAAAATGTAACTTTGAGATCTCTGATTTCTGCTGTTCTCTCCAAAACAGCATTATTGTAAGCAAATGTGATCAAATTTATTTAACGACTATACGAACAAATTTTACATTTGGAAATGGTTTAAAAAAGCCATTATCGCACCACTGATACATACTAGGTCCTTCTAGATACAATTATCTGAATTTGTAATTTTGGTCTAGATCCCTGTGATATACTTGCAGAAACAGTATAATTTGCTGAACAATAGCTATTATAAGAAACATGATAAAATGATCAATAATTCAATTCAAATATATTCAATAATACAGTATACAGTATATATTTTGATATATTCTAGTACCTAGCACTACACTAATTTTAGATCTGGCAGTGTTGCACCTACAAATATGTTGTATACTTGTTCTATTATTTCCTTATTCATGACTCCACCTTTACTGACAAATTTTCGTTATTTGCAGGATACAATAGCGTGGGTGATGCTAGTCTACGGAGTCTAATGGTGAGTATTGAGTATGACAGACAGCTTTGCTTTTTATTATACGTAAGGCGATGAAGTGGTGCATATCAGGAGTTTCTGGAGTATCTTGAAATTCAATATGATTAGCGACATGCAGTATGGTTTTCGGGACCTCCTAGCTTTCGATCGATCCTATGGCCTCCCAGAGAAGCTCCGTAGATAATGGCTGACTTCTTCTCTGACCGCGAGATACCCGTCGTATTTCATACTACAATATCAACGCGGATGTTCCACAGGGTTCGGTCTTGGCTCCGACATTGTTTCCACAACTTTGCTAATGACACCACTTTACAAGCAGGAATTCAGAGTGTCAAGCGGATCTCTATAGGTGAGCGGGAGAAGAGAAGACTAGCAGCGGCTTCCTCTCTGTCGAGAGATCTGGAGTTAACCACTGCTTGGGAACTCAAAAATCTGGTACAAGTTAATGCTACACGTTACTATATCTTAACTAACAAGAAACGTCGTAGTGCTCATTTCACCTGTTCGGAGTTCAGATCATCGAGAACTTGACCTGCCACATCTCGTCAATCGCCGCAGCTGCTGGGAGAAAGCTAGGGTAAATATACTAAGTGACATATAAATCCGAACACCCAGTTTAAATGGTTTTATTTTAATAAAAGTTGGTGAATGTATTTATCTTACTGTAAATAACAAGTGAAAAAATTTTCAGCCTTATCAGTTGGACATTCCGGTTTTTATACTGTTTTTTTTTAATTCACTAACGCTCAAAAAATGAGTATTTCAGCCACAGTAAAGAATCAACGTTGGCGGATTTTGGTTCTTGACATCCTTTACGATCGGTTACGATGCCTAGAGTACGGAGATCTGTACGATTTCGTCAACTTAGTGAGTTTGATAGGGGCCGTATAGTGGGACTTCGGGAAGCTGGACTTTCTTTCCGGGCAATTGCAGTTAGAGTGCAAAGAAGTGTAGACACTGTGTTTAGGTGTTGTCAGGCATGGCTTCGAGAAGGCCGTACGCAAAGAGCAAGGGGCACTGGACGCCGCCGTAGAACAACAGACCGTGAAGATCGCCGCCTAAGATTATTGGCCTTAAGGGACCGTTTCTCCACTACCAGGTCCATTGCAAATGAATGGTTTGCAGAACACGGAAGACCTATTGGCATGCGAAGTGTTTACCGACGAATGAGAAGTTTTGGCTTGTTTTCATACCGGCCACACTGGGTCCTCCCTTTAACTCGAGAACACCGACGTAATCGCCTTGAGTGGTGCAGACAACGGTCACTCTGGGATCAGGAATGGAACAGTATTGTCTTTAGTGACGAGTCTCGATTTTGTTTAGGCATGCACGATGGTCGTGCCGGGTTAGAAGGCGACGTGGTGAAAGGAGGAATCCACAGTTTTTTGTTGAAAGACATGTTCATCACACTGTTGAAGTTATGGTTTGGGGTGCTATAGCTTATGGTTCCAGGTCACCTTTAATCTTCATCAGAGGTAACATGAACGCGCAGCGTTATATCCACGAAGTTCTAGAACCCCATCTTTTACCCTATCTTGACACCCTGGCAGATCCAACTTTCCAACAAGATAATGCCCGACCACATGTTGCAAGAGTCACAATAGACTTCTTTCAACATAATGAAGTCACATTGTTACCATGGCCACCAAGATCTCCCGACTTATCCCCAATTGAGCACGTGTGGGATATGATGGGTAGGAGATTGCTCAATTTGCAACGTCCTCCTCAGACTGTACAAGCACTTCGAGAGGAGTTGGTGGTTGCCTGGAATGAGATACCACAGGAGGACATTGACCACCTGATCAGAAGCATGCCTAGGCGCGTTGGAGAATGCGCAGCACATCAGGG